AGTGAGATCCAGGAAAGGCACAAAGCTACACAGAGAAACCTAAAAAAAAAAAAAAAAAAAAAAAAAAAAAGAAATGGAACAAAGTTATAAACTGAAAGCCCTTCCCAGGGGCATACTTCCTCCAGCAAGGCTCTGTATTTATTTCTAAAGGTTTCATAGCCTCCCAGACAGCACCACCAACTGCGGACCAGTGTTAAATACGTGAGCTTATGGGGAACATTGATCATTCAGACAACTACCCCGTGTTTAAAAAAAAAAAAAGGGACTAGATTTTAGCAGACACTTCCCAAAGAAGATACAGTCGGAAAGTAAAGACACAAAAACGTTCAGTAAGGAATATCGGAATGTGAGTGATTACTACAGTGAGGTACCCATGAGCATCTACAGAACAGTGTGAAAATTGTAAACTGACGGCACAAATCATTCACAGGATTATACGGAAACTGACGCTCGTATATGGCTGGTAGGAATGTTGAATGGTGCAGTCACTCTGGGAAAACAATGTAGTAACTTCTTAAAGGTTAAAAGGGCTGTAGGTGTGTCTATCATTCCAATTTACGGGATTTGCCTGAGAAGTGCAAACATGGTTTTCTAGAAAGGTTGGTAAGCAAATGTTTGTAACTTGTCTTTTAGTAACACCTTCAAACTGAGAGATTCCAATGTCTTTTAAATATGGATGAACAAACCTTGCTGTGGTCTTATAGTGGAGTACCATTAATTAATTAAAAGCAAGAACCATTGACACTGCTGTGACCTGGGGCCACTGGCACACCCCTGTGCACCTTTACCACGAGCCTGCCATGCCGTGGAGGTTCTTTGGAATCCTTAGAGAAGGGGGAAATAGGTGTTTTCCTCTCAGTCCCAGGGTTTCAGGTCTTGTCATTATGTGTGCATCCCTGATGTGTATGGGCATGCATGCCACAGCGCCTCGCGGAGGTCAGAGGGCAGCTCTGTGAATCTGGGGCTCGTCCATTTTGATGTGGGTTCTGGGGCTCAGGTCTCAGGCCTGCATGGCAAGTGCCTTTCCCTGTTGAGAAAGCCATGAACACTAGTTCATCCAACATGAGAAAGGCCAGGACAGTTAGGGAAAATGCACTGGATTTCCGCAGACGACCTCCCTGTGCTGTTGTGTATTTTGTGACGGAGCGAAGATGGCCTGTCTGATAACGGGCGGCCCATACAGCCACTTGTTTTCATTCGTGACTGTGGAGGCCCCAGGGAGCCATGGTTACTAAACTGTATTTTCATTTGCTTTCGTTTTTCTCAATCGATGGCTTGTGATTGTTAAGAATACAGAATATGAAGATGAAAAAGCGTTGAAGAATCCAAAATATAAAGACAGAGCTGGAAAACGCAGAGAGCAGGTTGGAAGCGAAGGGACTTTCCAGAGAGATGATGCCCCTGCGTCTGTCCACTCGTGAGTGTTGACTGACACCGAGATAAGATTTCTTGTTGAGTTTTCTTACCTAGTAGTTCTTTCCTCATGGTAAAGTGGCTTTGTTAATCAACATGAAAAATGTGATTTTGAGGCCTATAAAATGACCACACTTTGTATTAAATTGGCTACATTTTTTTTTTCATTCCAGGTTGAGTCAGATTGAATCTTCCATGCAGAAATGAAAATGATAAAATTGTGGTTTTTCTCCCTTGTTCCCACACTCTTTTAGCACTAGTGCCAGGTTTAGTTTTATACTTAGAGTTGCTGGTAACTTCCTTCACAGTGTGCAGAAGGCCTGTCCTACTGTGCACGAAGTCAGGTGAGGGTGAACTGTAGATGTAGCAGGCGGCAGACTAGACACATCAGAGAGAGAACGTTCCTTGTGCTGGACGGTAGGCAGATTGCATTAGATTTAAATTAGAAATAAAGAACAAGCGCCTTGGTCTGCTCCCTTGGCATATCATAAAAGAAGCTAAAGTAGCAGCACACAGTGAGAAAGTCATAAAATACAAAATCAAAACTCTCACATTAGAAAATCCATCACACAGAGTGCGGGTGGGGAGCACAGGGTTCCATTTCCCCTTTTTATTGGTTCATCCATATATATAGAAAGTCATAGTTATCTGTGCTAACTGTTCAAGCTTGTGAGAGTGCACGTTTCATGGACAAGAAGTGTCAGTAACCTTTGACCTGTCTCACCTCTGCCCTGTTCTTCCCGAAGTCAGTCACCATCCTGACAGCGATCGCTTCATTGATTCTGAAATGTTAAGTGAATGGGCAGTACAGTATTCCTACGGTGCCTGTAGTCTTTTGTCCGGTGCGGCTCAGTTTGATGCTGCTTGTTTTCATTGCCGGAGAACGTGCTTTGTGAATGGCCTCAGTTGGTCTGTGTGGACATCGAGTGCCTTATCCTTTGTTGCCGTTAGGTTTGCTTGCTTGTATGTAGGTCATTAGGTGCATTTCTGTTAGGTAGTATCTCCAGAGGAGAGTTTGTGTCCTCCACGTTAGGAGGTATTGTCAGTTTTTTAAAGGCGCTGTACTGGTTATTTTTAATGCATGAGTTTATTGTACATATGACCTTGAAAGTCTTTATAAATCAGTTATCATCTTAATTTTCCTCTACAGTGAAATTACAGATAGCAACAAAGGCCGGAAGATGCTGGAGAAGATGGGCTGGAAAAAGGGAGAGGGCCTGGGAAAGGATGGTGGAGGAATGAGGACGCCGGTAAGACCTGTGTTTTCTCTCATTCATAAATTCTTTGACTAGACAGTGTGGTAACGAGCCAGGCATTGCCAGGCGCCGGGGCTGCAGTAGTCACCCGAAACAGACCCGGTTTAGGCCTTTGTGTGTTCTCACTTAACACGTGTGGGTTTGGGAAACACTTTGTGCTTCGGGAAAGCCTTGTCTAGAACTTTTTTCTTAAATCCAGACTATTAAAGTGTTATTTCCTGAATCAAAGGTTCTCTTGTGCTTTTTAGTTGTATGGGTTTTTAAGTTGTTTGCTTTACCATGTTGAGCATTAAACCCAGGGCCTTGAACATGTTAGGCAAGCACCCTTACCAAGCTACCGTCAGTCCTTTTAACGTTTTTTAAATGACATTCTTACTAGTCTGGTACTGAACATTGCAGGAACAGTCGGTGTTAGTTTACACATCGGCAGATTCTGCATTAGCTGGAGAGACTATTATGCTTCAGAGCCCCCGAGTTCTGTGTGTACAGTACAGAGAACAACGTGTAGAAAACAATGCATCAGTTAACTTCCATAGTCCCAGAGTCGATGGGAGACAGCGGGCGGTCATCTTTAACACTCTCTCCATAAAGTGACCTTTGTAGTTCATGATATCTACCGAAACAGATGGACCACAGCATGAATTTGTGCTGGTTTTCTCATTTTCACTGGAGCATGATAGAAAGAATAGTTCTGTAATTAGACTCTGAATATGTACGAGCCTTATCACTGAGTCTTTGGACATGTTTGAAGTTACATGTGTAAGGTGAGGATGATAAGAACCATTTTCAAGGGTGTCCTGTAGATAAAGCTCTGAGCTTTACCTAAGGCACCGGTCTCTGGTAGCTTCCTAACATGAGAGGCCTTCATCTCCTGATGGGAGGGTAAACAGCAGTCGGATTCTCGTCATGGCTCTGTGTGCACAGCCCTGGACAGGGAGCCCGCCCTCGCTCGGTGCATGCCAGGCAGACCCTGCAGTGTCCAGTGACCCCCGGGCCTCCCCTGACCATCTTAGCGCTTAGTCCTCTTGTACAGTTCCTTGAGTGAGGCTAGGGCAGGGCTTTCAACGGCCCACGGGCTTTACTTGGGGTCAGAGTGGACCGTTCAGGTGTGTCCCTCCTGTGTCTGGACTGAGCAGTCTAGCTATGAATGCAGCCTAAACAAAACATAAACTTACATAAAACTGAACGGGGCTCTTTTGTTGTTCATTTTTGGGGTGACTGTTCCAGAGAACAAACTTTGTAGATAAGAATATTCATCACAGTTAAAAAGGACAAGCATAAAGGTTTGATCACAGCTGTTTAAGGAACAGGTGTTTAATAGTTGTATTTAGCTCTGACAAGATAATGCAAACAAAATGTGCTTAAGCTGCATGGGAAATAGGACATGTATTCCTGAATGTGTTTATGTATTTGACGTGTTCTCTTTGTGTGAGCCTTTAATAAGTCAAAGGATTACAGGCAGACGTCTACACAGCCGCGGCACACAGCAGGTTTTGGTGTGTTTTGGTCCTAAAACGAGTCCTCTGTTCAACTCCCATAACAGATCCAGCTTCAGCTCCGACGGACACATGCAGGCTTGGGGACAGGGAAACCATCCTCTATCGATGATCTTCACTTTCTCCAGAATAAGAGCAAGAAAAACTGGGACAAAGCGAGAGAGAGGTTTGCAGAAAACTTCTCAGAAACTAAACCTCTGAAAGATGCAGCGGGGGCCACGCCGTGGGTGAAGGGGTCTGCAGAATGAAGGTCGGTCACAGGAAAAACTGGAGCTTTGAAAAGAGAAGACTTTGGAAACTGTTGTTGTAGAAACTTGGGTTCTCAAAAAGTCAGTAACAGGAGGGAACTCTTCAGATGGTCCTCTTGATCCACACACGTGTGAGGACGTGTGCTTTACAGCTTGTAGAGAGCATTTTAACTCGGGCAGGAGCGGAATGAACTCATGCAGGAAGTGGACTGAAGTTCACGGAGCACAGGCAGAGCTTGTCAGACCGTTGCTGTTTAATACTGTCATGTACCACACCTGTAGAGGGCAATAGCCATGCGAGCAGAATTCAGACAACCACTAATGACGTGAGTGGACGTTTGTCCTGTCTCTATGTGTCACTGTTAGAAGATGTGCAGACAGGAAATAGACGTTTATAAAACAATTCTGTGTGGATACTTGTTTACACCTTTTAGAACCTAGGTTTTTTGTTTTTTTAAGTTGAGAAACCCTGAGTAGTGGAGCATAATTTTATCCTTAAAATAACTGCAGTAAATTGAACAACTGATGAGCAGGTGACATGCTATAGAAAATTAGTCTCAAACTGTTTTCTTCTGTGAAGAATGTTGATTTGTACTATATATTCAGCATTTGCCTTTGGGTTTTTCCTAGCTGATGAAACATTTGATATAGACAACTGGGTGCATATTGGCATATTCAATGTGCTAGCATTTTTAGTTTTGATAAATACCATTGCGGGCAATGGGGTTGTGCCAGAGAAACCTGACAACCAGTGCAGATGGGTTACTTAGCCAAGGCTTCAAACACAAACATTTGCTGGAAACATCTTCAAATGCAATAAAAAAACATTTTAAAAGACTTGATTTCTTGAATAAATGATTTAAACATATTAGTCTCCTTTGTATTTGCAACCAAACAGAATTGTCCCCTTTGCATTGGCAAACCAATGACAGAAGGCAAAGCCTCCGGGGGCGGCTGTCTTATTTACCACCCTACACTGTTCAAAAGCCTTTGGGCAGTGGCGGCGCACGCCTTTAATCCCAGCACTCGGGAGGCAGAGCCAGGCGGATCTCTGTGAGTTCGAGGCCAGCCTGGGCTACAGAGTGAGTTCCAGGACAGGCGCAAAGCTACACAGGGAAAACCTGTCTTGGGGGAAAAAAAAAGGAAATAAAAAAAAAGCCTTTGGGGGTCAGTGTCTTATTTACCATCCTACACTGTTCACTGTGAAGCTAACACTGGAATTGTCTCTCTTTTTATGGCAGTAAGTATAAACCTTAGCTCTCCATCTGCAAAAAAAATGTCTTCAAGATTCAGAAGCAAGTGCAGGAGATGCTGATAATGAAAGAGATACGGTCATGGAAATAATTCACAATGAAAGGTTATCCGTGGAACTCACGCTGTAGTGGGACAGGGCATGTGGGGGTGAGCGCCGAGAAGTCAGTTATGACTAAAGGTGAGAAGAGGACCAATTAACAAGTCCCTAGAGGACTAGCGTGGGAGAATTTGGCCCTATGAGTCCTCATTTGGATAGTGTTTCTTTGTGCCCTTACACATGCATGCATGTACATGTGAGCCCGCACACACGCACACGCGCACACACGCACACAATCCACTTGGAGGATTATTTCCTCTAAAATAGAAATGAAATTTCTATTTTGGTGCTGGTTGCCTGAGTAGGTAACAGTAGGACCTTCAGGACAGGTTTTGCTTCTGGTGGGTCTCCTTCAACATGCTCAGTAAAATGACTGTGTTATTTCCCACCTTTAGTCCACTTCGGAGGGGGAAGTGTTCGTCATAGGCATTTTTGCTAAGAAAATGGAAAACTAGAAAACAGTAGTAAAAACGGAAATATGTGTATATAGTACTTGCATTCCTAAACCATTTTGCAGCTCTGAAGTCTCAGGACTTCACTATGAATTATTAATGTACCACTGAATAAGTGTCTCGGTTTCTGTCTGGAATTTTATCTCACATGTCTCTGTCAGACAACAAGAGAGATGTATGTGGAACCAGTTGGTAAACTGTAAACACAGAACATACGTGAGCGTCTATTAGTTTAGAAGCATAAATGTGAGCTATATACAATTTGGGTTATGCACAAAACTGTTTTAAATGCAAATTTTAAGTAGTACTTTATTCACATCGTGCAGATTTGCTAATTTATGTAGTAGCTTTTAAGTGCTTGTTTTAAATTGAACTACAAGTTGCTGAATTTTAAGCAATTTAACATCTTAATTTCGGCCAGAACATGAGAAATTTACAGTCGAGGACTGAAGAAGCCATCCACTTTAACAGAAATCGTTTTCTGGTATTCCACACATCTGGCTAACGGAGCGCTCCTCAAAAGGAGCACTTTTTTTTTTTTTCAGCTTTTGAAGCAGGCTCACTTCCAGCATTTCCTTTTTACTCTGATTCTGATTGCTTCACTCAGAGGCTTCCCGGTTTTCAAGTGAAAAGCTATTTATTAATTGGGCATGTTTCCCAGGGACAGGCGGAAGGTAGAAATCCCAAACAAAGGAAACCAGGAGGCATGAGGAACTCGGTCAAGTCTGGGATAGCAGGGGTACACATGGCTGATGGCCGGAAGCACTTTTGAACCTAGCCCCTAAGTTGTCCTCCTCAGGGACATGTGGACACAATCTCCTGGGAACCTGGCCACATGGGTATTTTTCTCTTAAATTGTCGCCTTCATTTCTGCTTTGAATTTGTGATTCAGAGCATTTCAGTTGCTTTTTCAGACTTTAGAATAAGATGCCACTGGATTCCTCAGAGTGAGATGGCAATATGGACCGGCTTATCAGGGCACGGGCTGGGCTTATTGCTTCCCTGCCTTGTCGTACTTTTGGCTTGTGGTGAACTGACTTGGGACTCTGGCCATGTCATTCATGTCTTAGGAGGAATGGGGCAAGTGTGGTGCAAGATGCCTGTTCTTTTCTGTCAGGGGGGCAAGTCCTCAGGCTGACACTGCCAGCTTCTTAATATCGCCAAGAGGCTCATTCAGAGCAAGCAAAGGTAGCCACAGCTGGCTTAAGCCGGTCTTGAACCATCCATTGGAGCTGAGCATGTTGCTGTTAGAACACAGTTGAGGGTCAATGGACAGTGGAAGTTTGGTATAGATCCTGAGTAAGCAGGTAACCATTGACCACGTGACCTAACCCTCCTGAAGGAGAGGCTGCGGTTGGTTAAACTATGATACATCCTTACTATCTTTGTATCCATTCCAACAGAGACTCCTGTACACTGGTCAAGAAAAATATGTCAGTGCCTTCTGATGTTTAAAGGCAAGTTCTAGGATGTGCAGAATCTATTTTACAAACAGGGGCACACATTGAATTATTAGTGATCCAAGGAGTAGGCAGACTTTTCCTTTTAATTATACTATGTGTCAATTATATCTAGGGTCTCGCTCATGCTTACACAAATACCCCACTACTGAGCTGCACCCCAATGACTACTGAAGAGTTAAGCAGTGAAGGGCTTCCACTGGATTGTCCCTAGCAGGAGAACTGGTTGATTGAAGGAAGAAGAGGAAGGCTGGAGACTTGGAGGGTCCGTGTGGCTAGCAGATCCTCAGCCTACAGCAAGTGCCGTGCAGTCCTGGAAGGCAGGAAACCTTGTGTGTCTTCCTCACTGCTGTTTCTTAGAGCCTAGCTCAGGCCGGATGCTTGGCAGGTCCTTGGTAATTCAGGACTGGAATGTGGTGCACATTGCGTGTGTATCAGGGGCTGCACTAGACACTTAGCTTGTATCCCTGGCTCTCAACACTTAAGAATTAAAAAACCTAGGCTTAAGAGGTATTTTTGTTTGTTTTGTGGGGAGTGGTGGAATCCCCAGCATTGTCCATATTAAAAAAAAAAAAAAAAGATGGGGGATCTATTTTGTTGAAGGTCAAAACCTGCTTGCAGGAAGTGGCCGTGATACCCCATCTTGCTGGCTGAGGGCTCTTTTGAAATGGGTGGAAGTCTCCGGTGCAGAAGCTGCAAAAAATCGGTCAAGTGCTGCTCTGTGGTGACATTCTTTGACTCTGGTAGCCGTGAGCCACTGGAGTGGGCAGCTAGAAGCTGGGTCACAGTCCCTGGGCAGCCCCCTGGCGCATCTCTAACCCTGCAGCACCAGTGTTAGCAGCTCGTCATCATTGTCTGCTGTCTGAGACCCTTGGTCCCAAACGCTCATCAGCTCCCCGGGACTCACAGGGAGCTCGCCGCTGTTCTTCCCTGGCTCCTTACAGCTCTTCCTGCTTCAGCCTCAGCCTCTGCTTTCTTGTCCTTTCTCTCTACTTCCCTTCTTGCCCTGGCCACTCTCACTGTCCAGCCAGGGGCTCCAAATGCTGGTCTTTATAACTTCCACACTGCTGCTCCTGTTGGGCCGACCAGGGTACCTGCCTTTTGGGGCACAAGACACCTCACTCAGTCTCTGTCTCTGTCTCTCCCTCCCCTCCCTCCCTCTTTCCCTCACCCTCCCTTCTTCCCTCTTTACCATTCCCTCCCTCCCTCCATCCCTCCTTGCTACTAGCTCAGACTCCTTCTGAAAGCAGATGAGCCCATTCTAAAGAAAAGCCTGTTCTTGGGCCTGCTTCCCAACAGCCCTGGAGGCAGCACAGGAGACAGACTGTTTTGGACAGTCACAGCCTTGTCTCAGCACCAGTTACACTCCTTGATGCTTTGGCTTTAGACCAACCACAGCCTTGTTTCTAGGCAACAGCTATGTCTCTCTGTTAGACCACCAGGGGGCGTGCTGCCCCTCTGGCCAAGGTGGAAGTAGTTGCAGGGTTATCATAGAGTTCTTCTAGTCTTACGGCAGCAAAGAGTCTAGCGCAAACTGTTTTGAACAGCCTGGCTGAGGTGATCTCTGCATCCGCGACACCACCAGGATTGATAAAAGTCCCAGTGCCAAGTAATAGGCCACCTCCTCTTAGCCCGTGTCTTAATCGGGGTTACTGTTGCTGTGATAAAACACCATGATCGAAAGCCAGCTGGGAAGGAAAGGGTTAATTTAGCTGACACTTCTATATCATAGTTCATCACTGAAGAAAGTCAGTACAGGAACTGAAACAGGGCAGGGACCTGGAGGCAGGAGCTGATGCAGAGGCCATGGGGTGGAGGGGTGCTGCTTACTGGCTTGCTCCCCATGGCTTGCTCAGCCTGCTTTCTTATAGAACCCAAGACCACCAGCCCAGGGAAGACACCACCCACAATGGGTCTTGCCCATCAACCATTAATTAAGAAAATGACTTACAGCCAGGTCTTTTGAAGGCATTCTTTAATTGAGGTTCCCTCCTTTCTAATGACTGTAGCTTGTGTCAAGTTGACATAGAACTAGTCAACCCAGCCTGCCTCACTGCTTAGCTGCCATTGCGGCCACAGTGAGACAGAACCAGCTGGAATCATTGGGTAGCTGTCCCAAGGTATCCGGAATATTCATAATGGCTGGTGCTGGCATAAAGGGTGGTCCCAGTTGTTTATTAGAATGAGTCTTTTTGTTCAAGGCAGCCAAGGAGGCAAGGAAGAATCTAAGGGCTGCTACTAGGGAGCCAAACTGCCCTGTCCCAGGATGCCCAAAAGGACTTTGTAGGTAAAGGTACCCCTGCCAAACTTGATGACCTGAGTTCCATCAGGACCAACTTGGTGGAGGGGAAGAGCCAACTCCAGTAGGTTGTCCTCCGACCGCCATACTTGCACCAAGGCATGTAAGCGCATGCCCACACAGGAATCAATAAGGGATAAAACCATGAAACTCTTTGTATTGCCACACCTTTAACATTGTCTTCTGTTTGCAGGAAAATGAAATGTCAGAAGTTCTTACAACGAAGACTTACCTCATAATTAACACTAGCTATTTTAACAGATTATAACCATGCTTAGCGCCTGCCCAGTGGCCCAGAGAGAGGTG